ATACCAGTTCGTGTGCATCCATTGAAATGCAATCTAAGCAAATTTTTCATTGAGGTCAAACAGAAAGGTAGGACTTCACTCAACATTGACAAGTCCCACCCACTGAAGTCAACGCGATGTACTTTAGCGAGGTAATCTACTGCTGATGGCTTTGTCTGCTTAGCAACATGCTGCAGTAACCACAAGAGGGAGTTCAATGAGTCCTTGCTATAATAGGGACCTATCCACATAGTTGTATTCAAAAACGACTCGATGAAATCAACTGATAACAAGTCTCTTGGCTGACATTCAAAGTAGTAATTAACTGCCAATTCCGGCGCACTTTTCACTTTCCGCATCCCCAGTATTAGCTTCGTAAACTGTTGATTGTCGCCGCAGCCGAAGCGCAACATGTATTCAAATTTCCGAGGATCGTCAGGGATGTCAAAAATCCTCTGACATACCATATCACCGTTGATTTGATTCTGACAGTACATAGCTGCGCAGTACTCCTGAACTGTCTTATGAATAAACTGCACGTTATTGTGCGTGTCAAGCCACTTAATGACTCTCTGGCTAGTGAGAATGCCTGCTTGTAATGCTTTGTCAAGAACACTCTTCTCAAATTCTCTCTCTTGAAATGAAAGCCTTTGCTCTGGGAAAACAAGCCCTTCAAAAGCATTTTTGCCGATTGCAATCACTACTTCCGATATTGCGTCTTTTGATAGGTCAGGCATCTTTCTTCGAAATATGTATCTAATTGCCTCTCTGAACAATCTTGATAAAATGTTGGATAGTCTTGCCTCTTCCCTCCATAATAAACACATAAGCAGAAGCAACATGGGACTCCTTGCTAAATCTGACAAAACATTTGATGACTGAATCCTATCAAGAAGTCCCTCAGCGATATCAAGCTTTTTAGAGAAAAATTTCGGTATACCGGTCTTTTAATTCACTCCTGCACTGATCAGCAGCATCATCACTCGATCTGGACATCGCTCTCCCCATCTCGGCTGTTAAAAGAAAAGAGGCAACCTTAGATTTGTATTTTGCAGTAACACTTGCGAAAAATGCCAACTATTTTCTTTCATGCCGAAGTTTCTTCTCAGTATTTGAATGGAATGATTTTTCTTTTCAGTGAAACGTCATTTTTGGTTGAAGGTCTCTGGTAAAATGTTATGACTGTGACGTCCTTCCGAAAAGTGGTCTCGGTATATATTTCATTCTGATCAGTAATTGTGCATGGTAATTTAGCAAATCTGGTCTATACTTAGAAGTGGGTTTGCATTTTTGTCTAAAGAACTTTGTCTTCTGGTAAAAAGATGAAAGAACACAGACGTTTTGGTCATGCAACTGTATGTATCGACCCTTTGCATGACAACCATATTATGGTCGTTAAGTGGCGGACGGTGAGCGTTAAAGGACCATTGGATCCACGAATTGGGTGTGAGTTCTCAATTGGATATCATCTACACAATAATAAACAGGGCTACTAGGAGGGTAACGGAAACGATTGAGATTTGCACCCACTTGTCTGTGTGCTATACTTTAGTCAGTAACAATAACCAAGAGATCTTCACCCTGTACATGTGAGAAAGACATTAATGCATCCCAAGATGGCTGATATGCAAATAATCTGTTTAGTTTGTTTGTGAAATATTTCTAGCGCTAACTAGAAGCATCTCGCGGACTGTATCTTTTTTTTCCATTTCAACTAATTAAAAGTGAAAGGGAACTCAATATCAATTGTAAAAAGTAAAAAAAAAAAATAAAAAAAAAACGAAGAAAACGGGACATTTCTGTAATAAAAATATCGGCCTAATATGATTTTTATATCAAGTAGTCATACAGGGCGCGACATTGAGAAAAACAAATGTTTTTTTTTGCGATTTTGCAAACTCAGTTCAACATTGTTCAACATTAAAACTTGTACAGTTTCTCACCAAATGTTATTGGTAATTCGCTTTCCGCTTTAAACTGGAAAATACATTGTTGTTGTTCCGATTTTGTTTTCCTTTTTCCTCTCTTAGTTCTATCCCAAATCCCATGAACCGTTTATTATGGCCCCACTTTTGACTTTAAACAAAGACATCTTCCACCGAAACTTAATAGAGGCAACGACCTTATAGGTAGCACCTATACAGAGGAAATACGTCATAACGACGTCACAATGGGTCACGTGTCGTCATCTTAAAAGTGCACATTTTAGGGTCCCATATCTACTGAACTGTACATCCAATTAGGTGAAACTTGGTATGTTGGTAAACCGGGATGTGTTATTGGTAATCATTGAAGTGGTTTTATGCAGAGTTTTGAATTTGGAAGATTATCGTGATATCTCTTAAACCTAACATGCTGAATTCAAAATGTGTTGTTGTGTGGGGTTTACAAGGTAATAGATGCATGCACACAATTTTGACATCATGATGACATCTTAAAAAATGCAATTTTTCAAAAACTATATCTGTATTTTATATTTAGAAAACTGTAAGTCCGATTGGGTTTGAACTTGGCGTGTACATATTATATGGACGTGTAACAGACCGAAATAATTGGTGATGTCATGACTTCGTCATCATGGGTCTTGATACGTTATCATATTTTAATGTCCTGTATCTGGAGAACGACAAGAACAGCTAAGTAAGTAATGGAACTATGTTCAAAACATAATATGCCCAAACAGTCTACCACCCTCCCCCTGCCCCCCCCCCCCCCGATTCATTAACACTTGATTTAAGATATCAAACTACTTCATTGTATCGAACAAGATTATATTTACCTGGTCTCTCCGACGTCAAGTTGTAATTGATATGAACTTGACTTGAACCAACAATGATAGGGTTGTGGCTACCACTGATTGTGCCGATGCTTCCTATGCTGGCTCCACCTCTTTGTGGGCAATCTACAATCAAAAACAAGAAATATAAGGGTTTATTAAAAACATGTCTCGCACTTAAGAACTGAATTGTACATGTGAACATCATATATGATTTAAACAAAAATAATACTTATTGTACTAAAACATAATACTTTGTGATTAACAACCAAATACTAGAAGCTTTGTACATTAAAAATAAAAAAACAAACTTCAAATTAAAGTTATGCGATCGTACCAAATTTTATATTGTTTTCCCGTGGAATTTTTAATTTAGTTTGTGGCATAAAGTTGCGTCTCTGTCGGGTTTTGTTGCCTAATTAATATTTTCTAGTGTAATATATGTTCTAGTTATTATTTCCAAAAATCTATTTTCCAGCAATAAAAAAATGTTTACTTTTACTTTGGAACGAATCATAAAAAAAATCAACTTATAATTAAAAAAATAATTACTTTTAATTATAAGCAAATTGTTAGTCATAATGTGCATGCGTCAGTTGTTAACTGAATGGTTGTGGGACTTCACCTTTCAATCAAAACAAAATATCTAAATTCAACTTTCAGGAAAAATGTAAAATTCATTTCATCGATAAGTAGGCCTTCATATATCACTCATAGGCCTACATCATTCGAGTCACCAAACCTCGAGTCCGAGTTTGAGTCACCACTACCGAGTCCCAAGTCATGCAGGTCGAGTCCGAGTTTGGGTCACGAGTCACAAAGTTCGAGTCCGAGTCCGAGTCACGAGCCACAAAGGTCGAGTCCGAGTCTTAGTCACACAAGTCTGGAAATTCCAATTATGCGACCCCTGACCGGGCAGTTGCCGAAATGATGCCAAGGTGTTTGCGGTGGACTCAAAACTATATGAAAGTACTTCAAATCATGCTATATTGATTCAATCACGTGACTTTTTTTACGCACTCGATACTAGTTTGCAGAAGACAACTTTGTTTCCCGCCACATTCCAGTCTCGATGAGGAAGGTACCATGCAGAAGCAAGTCTACCCGCAGATCGGATACGTTTATGCGAAAAAGGAACCCCAAAACAGTGCATTTTAGGGAGATTTTCAGCCAAAACTTAGAATTTGAAAACTTGTTCGGACAAAAACCTTTTAAACCCATTTTAAAAACAATTTCATATATCATAATAGGAGGGTGAAAATTAAAGAAACCGCGAGCTCGAAAAAAAAACCCACAAATATTGAAATTATAATTAATTGTATAAATCTTTACCTGATCTGCTTTCGCTCTCAGTAACCCTAGCGTGAACTTCTCCTCTCGGTTTCTGTAGCTCAGATGATGAAGTTCCTTTCAGCTTGCTATGTTCTTGAGCCACTCCCACTTGAACTTTTGGTTCGGATTCGTCTCGAGGAGCAACTTCCATCTGTCTTGGTCTCTGGTCCTCAGATGAAGTAGTCCATTTCTCCTTGCTAAGTTCTTCAGCCCCTCCTACCTTAACCTCTGGTTCAGTTTTGTCTCGTTGAGCGACTTCCTCCTTCAGACGCGGTATCTGTTCCTCACATAATGTTGTTTCTTTCCGTTTACTCTGTTGTGTAGCCCCTCCCACTTGATTTTCTTTTTGAGATTTATCTCGATGACTCTCTAATTGCCCATGCTTAGGTCCATGTTCTTTTATAGACGTCATCCCCTCTTGTGCGCTCTCGAATTCTCCCAGTTTCTGCTTTTTCTGTGGAAGCTCTTGACTCAGTCTGTGTTCCTCAATTGACAGTCTTGCGCGTTTGTGCTTGTCCTGTTCTTCAACAACAACCCTTTGTTCATGTAACTGAGGCTTGTTTTGCTCAGATACTTTTTCGTGTACCAGCCTTTGTTCCTCAGGTGATATAGCCCCTCTCTGCTTACTCTGTACCTTAGCCCCTTCTACTTGCAACTCAGGTTTAGGTATGTCTCGGTTTTCAAATTCCTCCTGTCTCGGTCTCTCCTCGTCAGATGATGTAGTCCCTTTCTGTGGGCTCTGACCTTCAGCCCCTCCCACTTGAGCCCCTAATTGAGGGTTGTCTCGATAACGAACTTCTTGCTGTGTCGGTCTATGTCCCTTTTGTAATGTAGTTTCTTTCTCCTTGGGCGACTGTTTAGCTCCTCCCTCTTGTACCAATGGTTGAGGTTTGTCTCGCTGACCAAGTTTCCTCTTGTTTTATCCTCTGTCGCTCTTCTGATGGTATTACTGAGATAAGCTCAGCATGCCCAATTGTATTTAACGAAACTTTCAAACTCTGAAATCCTTCCTCGCGATTTGTTTGTTTTCTCCACCAAGAAAGCAGCATCTTTAGGCTCCTTTCTTTGTTTCCCTGGAAGGTGGTTTGGATTTGCCTGATTTCTGCTTCTGCAAATCCAAGCGATTTTGCCAATTCTTCCCAGGATGATTGAATTTTCGAAGCCAAGTCCCGGAAGAATTGATCATCACCAGAGCGTTTGTCTGCCAAACAAAACATAAGTTGGAAGTATATATGTATGTGATTGAAAGGCAATGAAGTTTAGACTTTGGTTGGCGACGTTTATAAATATCAGTGCAATTTTTTATTGAATTGTTTATCCTTTTAGAAATGAGTGGCAAATCCTGGGAAATTCTGAGACATTACAGCAAAGGAGGCGGTAAAACACATTAACTTAGATCACTCTTTAACTACAAGAAATTGTTCAACAGATACTCATAATGCCAACAAGAAAAAGCTAGAGCATCCATCCTGTTTTCATAATTGCACTTTCAAGGAGGCATTTGGAGAGGTTGTTTAAACCTTTTGTTCCCCTTATATGAATTAATCTAGTGACATGATCCCAAGCTAAAGTGTTACGGGGTAAAGTCTGCTGATTTTACCCAAATCTAGAAAGATAATGTTCCCCATAAGCATTTACCTTTTGGTCCACCGCCCAGTAGGCCATTATAGTACACAGACGGAGTGAGATGTTCTCGTCCTGATGAATTTCACAGTCGTGAAGTGTCAGCAAGTTACAGAGCTGAAAAAAAAATAAAGATTGTCGTTTAAAAAAAAAACACTATTTGAACTCAAGATTAAAAAATATCTTGGTAGTTGGGATAACAAAACACGGGTAAAAATAAATCAGAATATTTTTCCGTGGTGCTTTTTCATCTGAGGACCTAATCGGTGGGTACTTAAACCAGCAAACATTATTGCTAAATCACCATTACACAGGCATCAGAGGTAGAACTATTTCAATATACACAACTGTTGTAAAAGTTGAATCAGAAGAGGTTGCCACTAAAACCCACATTGCATGACCTTTAATTCGATGGAATAGTCATTGGTACTTTTTATCATGGTAATTTAAAAATATGGAGCCTTCCTTACCTCAAAATTACGAAGGTTTCTTTGGATGAACAGTCGCTGTTGTTCAGGCTGGACACTGATTTTCTCCTGTATTATTTGTTTTAAGGCCAAGACAGATGACTCTGGATCTATTTGGAGACAAAGCGTCGTTGGTTTATGACGGATGTGACTTCTGATGAAGACTTGCACATGTCTGAAACTTAAAAAAAAGAAAAAAGAAAGAAAGAGGTTCTTTTAAATGTTTGAGTTGAAAGTAGAAGTATTAAGGTAAAGCCCATCAATCATTATTGTAACTATTCTCTGCAATATTGCTCAAGTGGGAAAAGATTGTTTTTCAAAGGAGTTGGATTATCCACATAATGGTAATTCTTCAAACATGATCAAACATGAATAGCAGCATTAAATCGTGATTTACCAGATAATCCGAGGTTTGTCTTGATCACAAACATGTTCCTTTTTCAGTTTCTCTTCCTTGGTTGATGCCGCCCCGTTTTGTTTGCTCTCCTTGTCAACTCCTGCATCTTGACGCCTTTCTGGCTCGGGTCCAGCTGCTTCGTCTCTCGATTTGCTCGTCACTGACGCGAGTTTGAAAGCAGAATACATCATAATTGTATAGTTTACCAATTGTTTTTCAAATGTCTTTCCTTTTTTTTTCAATTAACGAGGCGATTTTATTTATAATTTCTTATTTGTATATAGAGTTCTGTAAGAGAGCAGGGTACCATATAATCCCCCCCCGAAAATCTAACATATGTGCTTGTTCACATTTTAGCTCACCCAGTACATTTTGAGCCAAATCAGTCAACCCGATGGCCTCCAATGCTCGTCTCAGCGTCTGAGCAGCTTCGTCGCGATCTGTCGTCTTTTCCCACCAAGTGAGTAGCATGTGGCGGCTCTCTACAGTGCTGCCTTCGTTGGTGGTTTGGATGTCTGCAATTTCCACTTCTTCAAATCCTAGGTGTTTGGCCAATTCCTTCCATGATGATTCAATTTTCGATGACAAGTGGTTGAGGTACTCATCATCAATGCTGACTTTGTCTGTCAAAAGAATGTTCAACAGTGAAACAAGTTCACCCATTACCGAATAAGTTATGAACGTAATGGTTAACTTGTTAACGACAGCTGCAACGAAAACATGCTTTGTTATCTTGGAAGGGCTAAGCAAATGATTAAAAAATCTCTTGGTTTTTATAGCATTTTCGAACCCAAAACCTCAAAAAAGTCTATATATTTCCAACCCCCCAATTCCATCCATTTCTGAAAATTACAGCAAAAGCAAATGATGTAGGCCTATATTTCCTTTAACGTATGAACTACGGCTACGGCAAATGTAGGGTGTTTTTTTTGTTCTTTATTAATAGCTTAACTTTAAATTGTTTATTTACTTGCACATTTTTTCCAAAATTCGTCATTAACCTTTTGGTACGTCGTCGTTATCCTCATCATCTTTAGATAGACGGAGTGTGATGATGTCATTCTTGTCGACACCATGATTCTCAAGTGTGAGCAAGTCAGAGAGCTACCAAAGTGAATAATGATAGAGAGTATAAGTTACAGGATTAGGGAGAAACAAAGTGGATTTAGGTTTTTTTTATCGTGTAGCGAATTAAGTTAGTTTAACCCTTAGTTGGAAGGTATTTACTGTGATTGTGGGCGGTGTGTCATAAATGCACAATTATTTGCTTGAAAATGGCAATGAGATATGAGGCATTTTACACCCTACGACACGAAACAATATATGTTAACCTTCAGGATAATTTTAATTGAACAATTAATTACATTCATGTATATGTATAATAAATTAAAAGTACACCTACATGGAAGGTTTCCCTGATGTACAGACGTTGATATCGTGCCTCCACACCGATCCTCTTTTGGATTACTTCTTTGAAAGATGACACGGATGTCTCTGGATGGAGTTCGAAATATAGTGTCTTGGGTTTATGTGAGGGGGGAGTCCGGACAAAGACCTGCAGTTTCTGTTGCTCGTCTCTGGTATTACTATGAAAAAAAGGGGAGAAATTATGTGTAGTTTTAGAAAAATGCATTAATTTTACAACAGAACGCAATCAGTTAACCATTCGTGTTGAAACTACAATCTAATCGGAGTCCATCGTCACTTTCATGAGTCTAATATAAGTGTTGCACAAGTTCGCTCAACTTTTACACAAGTATCTGCAAAGAGTAAAAGCTTAAATGTTTCCTTCAAAATTGAGAATCTTCAGCTTCATCTTAATTGAATGAATGTCATTGTTGTTACCTCTGACTTTCATATTTAATCCGTTGTTTCGATGGTTTCCTCTTTGCATAGCAATCATCCGAAGACGTTTTCCTGTAATGCAGTACAGACAGGAAAGCTTGTTTCCTCCTTGGTTTGACTTTAGTCTTCCTGCTGATGACTTTGGCGTTGGAGTGGTCGTACACGACGGCTGTTGCCTTGATGTATGCATTTAATTGCTGAATGGTCTTTTGCGGCATCTTGGTAATAATCAGGTCGATTTAAAGTATCCTAATTAAAAGAACACAACGAAAAGTCGTTGTTAAAACCAGTACAACCCTATAAGACTATATGGACCAAATAGCCGTTGCCATGGGCGTCGCCAGGACTCTCAAGGGGGGGGGGGACAAAGCACATTTTTCCCTTTCAAAATCATTGCACTTTCTCCAGCATATTCTCAATTTATCAATTGTGGAGGTTGGGTTGGGGGACATTTGCCAAACTCACCCCCGTTGACACCCCTGCGGACGCCCATTTTGTTAAATCTGCATTAAAATAACAGCAATATGACTTCGCACCTCTTTTCCCTCCTTTTTCTCCATTTTTGTTATTGTTGCCCCCCCCCCCCCCCCAGACAACGCTGTCCATTTGAAAGGATTTTGTCAGCTTTGTGGCTCATGTAAAAATCTCAGGGGTCTTTCATTTCAGCAGAAACCAATATATTTTTTGGGGACCCTGCATGAGACAAATTACCATGCCAAATCAAAAGATGATATACCAAGCAACTAAAGAAATTTTTCCTAAAACCATTTATATTGTTGTAACCATGACATGCGATTAGTGATTTGCCCGTGATTAACATTATTACTATTTTTGCCTTTGTAGGAATATTCAATGTAACAGATTTGCTGTGAAAAACAAAATAGTTTAATCCCGACGGGTTCGAAAATAAAACGACAGTATTGGAGAGCACTGTCTTTCTTATATGGTTCTCCGTGTTGAAAGGAGTAATACATTGTCTGTCAAATCGACGACTTCTCGAATCACACTCGAAAGAGTGCCATCATGAAAATCTTTCTTTTTCAAAAAAAGTAACTAAACCATTTTTTTTTACATGAGGGTGCACTTGAAAAGAAATAGAAACAAATGTATACACACATATTGAAATTCACACTGCAAAATAGCGTAGGGGTTGTGTTTGTTTTATTACTTTTATAAGTGCATTTTTTTATTGCTGTCAGTTGAGGGCGCCGTTACTGTCATTTAAGAGCATAGCCTGATAAGCGGTTTAGGGATTAATGTACACAAACTATCAACCCAAAATGTTGCTAATGTGTCTAATTGATTAGGCCTAAGCATTGTGTGACATCATAGGGACGAGGTTGCCCCTATGCTTAACGACATCACGGTTTTGCTCATAAATATGCAAACTTGTATTATTGTGTAAATCAAAAACTCAACAAAATAAACCTGCCAAGTTAAAATTAAACATGAATTGATATCAGTCACATGTGTGTCTTTGAATATTTTAGGCATACAATACAATTGCATAAAAATACAGAATTATACTTTAATTTCAAACTGCACATGATTCAGAAAATTCAACATTGGTTGTTACCCTGCACTGGCGTTATATCTATGGGTGTCGCGAGGCGGGGGTGGGGGCAAGGGGGATGAAATCATATTGTTGTTAATTTAATGAGTTGGGGGGGGGGGGCAAATCTCCCTGCCCACCCTCCAAAACTGATTAATCGGGAAAATGCAGGAAAAATAGGGATGTTGGGGAAAAGTGTGCTTTGCTCCCCCCACCCCCCCCCCCCCCCCCAGAAAACAATCCTGGCGACACCCATGGTCATATCCTTGGTATTGTATCCCCAGTGCTGTCCCAGTCATACTTCAGAAGACCCATAGAGGAATAGAAACAAACTCCTGAAAGAGCGAACTGTCCAGCCCCCCCCCCCGACCCCCACCCCACCCCACCCGAGGAAACTGCAGTGACATGATCATGTGTGTTTACATTTACCTGTTTTTTTCTCTTACGGTCAGTGTCACGACAATGCTGTACTCTACACTATACGGTAACGATAAATCCTCATGAAATCATGTTAAGTTCCATCTCCATTCTATATGTACCACAGTTGGCGAGTTAACTTCATTCACTTCCCGATATTCAGAAGAAACATTTGCTCATCAAGGCTGCATGATGGAGATCCAAGAATTGACGAAACAGTCGTGGGAAAATTACGAAATCCTACGTTGCAAGCCGAGTTGCACCCAGTTTCATACTGCCGCAGTGCCGCCTACCGATTTGGGAAGTCCGCTGATGCAATACTACTATTAATAGTGAACAATTAGGGGCAACGTACGGCACAGTGCGCATGCGTTTTACCAATTACACCCTGTCAACTAGGCTGGTTCTACACTAGTCCCCTGTTTAGCATTCACTGTATTGTATGGTTGTTACTCTTGGACTGATTGCACGGACGAATGGTTGTGTCAACAAAAGTGTCGCTTTTGTGAGTACGAATTGGCACACACACAAGAAGTACATGTAGGGTACAGGTCATGGACTGTTAACCCTACGTGTTTACATTAGTACAGTTGTGAACTTGATACTGCAATCCGGCCAGCTCAAATGATGAAGAAATTGCTCGTATTTCACAGAGCAGAAAAAGTACTTTCGTAAAACTTGTCAAGCACTGTAGAGAATAATTATATTGACTAGCCCACCGCAGTATTCACTCGCATTTGGCTAGTGGACTACCTTCAGAACCTTCAGAAATTTAACTGTATGAAAACGCATGGATCGAGTGGCTTTCTAAACATACAGTACGTCATGCATGCGGCAGGCTTTCTACATTTTAAAATGAGCTTTTTGGGTCAAGTCCACTAGGCCGATGGCATTAAGTCTGATTTTGAGGTACTTCTAGTCGGTTGTCTCTTTCATGGCAGCTGGTAGACGATTCCATCCCGGTGTATTAGTGTATGGGTAGAGTGAGAACTTGTAGCAATCTTTGTCAACTGATATTCTTTTCAAGTTATTTGGATGATTATTTCTGGATTGTCTAGCTGTTTTGGGTTGTTTCCTCCTTTGTGAACTTGAAGTGGTCAATGTTAGATAGAGCTATAGATGGTTCAATTCTTTGAAGATGATGGTTAGGCGAGATTTCAAACGTCTAACATCAAGTCGTTCTCGATCAAGTTGTTGAAGAAGCTGGGTGACGCTGGTTTCACGTCTATAATCTTTGGCGACAAAGCGTGCCCGTATGCGTTGAACTTTCACAATTGTTTCTATGTGGGTCTGTTTGTCTGGGTCCCATATGTTGATGCAGTACTCTAATTTGGGTCGAACAAGTGTCTTGCTATATTTTCCAACCGTTAAGGTAGGAAAATATAACTGTCAGGAAATGAAACTTTTCTGACATCCAATAAAAACAGAAAAGCGGAAAATACACGCGCAGGAAAGAGAAATCAAGTAAGGCTATGTGAATTAAGCCGAGTAGCCGAGTAGAAACGATCAAATATGTGCCGAGTCAAGTTGTTCGAGAAAAGCAAAGCACTAATTAAGTAACTTGTCTGTTGAGTCAGAATGATTGAGATAAGGCATGAAACTTGCGTATCCGTAGATTCCTGATGTTGAAAGCCAGTCTTGGAATAAAAAAAAAGATACATGTAAGAACGCGCATTCTATTTGTTTTCTGCCGTTTCGCCGGCGAATCTTGCACCGAAATCGCTTGCGTTTAAATTAAAGGAAGAACATGGACTGGCTTAGTGTTTTCAATTTCGTAGGTACATAAAAGCATATACTAAAACAGGACACAGATATAGACCCGGCCTGTGACGCCATAACGCCCTCTATTTACTCTAGCTTTCAAAGGGACACTGAGTGATGGAACAGCCCATGCAATTGGGCTACAAAACGCGCTTTGAACGAGATGATGTTAATCGGAAATAATATTTAAAAGTAGGATATAAACATCCACACAACTATTCTTTCAAAACTGGGTGTTTTTGTGTTATTCCTGTATTACGAATTTCGGGGTCCACTTTTACGACCCCATAAATTCGAGCTGTTTGGATGTGCTAGTTGTGTTTTGCATTCTTAAAGTTTTCCCGTGGCACGCTAGAGTTGAAATAAAATATTTTGCAAGACAATGTGTGAATAAGCTACAGTTCGAGGTTTGGGCGCACGCAGCACGCACGCATCACGCAAAACTTTTCCGGAAATTTTGCTGCCAGAAAGAAAATAGCGTTCAGTTTTCCTGCAGCTAATTTTCCGGAAAAGTTTTTTCATTCCGTAAAATAAACATACCCTTAACATGAGTTTGGACATGTGTACACGGTTGTGGGTGAAATAACAATACTTAGATGGACTATATTATGTGAAGGTGTTTGGGCCGATGTGGTTGATTGTAATCACGCTAATTAGCATAATTTATATTTGCATTTATGGAAAGTCCGTATAATTACGCCAAAAATACGGAATGTTTTACTTTATACGGAGTCCGTAAATTTACTTGCATTTGTAACAGTGCAATCACACCAACCTCTGTTATCGTCTTGCTTTTGTGTACTTCTTTTGTTAAAAAATTATTTAACTATTATTGCGTATAATGTGATATATATGCTAACATGGTTATTGCGTTTTATTCCAGGGGCGGGTCTAGCGTTCTGAAATTGGGGTGTTAACATTAGAAAGGGGGGTGCAGTTGAGTGAGGCGTGCCTTCGGCAGGCTTAATTGGCTTGTTAATTGAGAGGGGAGGTTGTCCGTAGGCATGACCTCGCAAAGTTATGAAATCTACAATGCCTTCCCCTGCGTTTTAAGGCAAACTATAAACTTTTTTACATGTATTGTATTTAGCTCCGTTTTAAGTAACAAATCAGCGGCTGAATCGAGGTGCGGGTGCCCCCCTCCACCCGAACCAATTATGGTTAGTAAAATGAAGAGAAATTAAACAAATTAATTTATTTCCAGATGAACCACATTGGGGCACTGACTAGATGCATTATTTAAAAAAAAAATTAAAACAAATATAAAAAAATAGAGGTTGTAGGAACAACCACACGGTGTTGGGCCATGGATTACCGCAAACTTTGCCACACACATCAACTCAAAATATGCATGTTTAAATCCATGTTTGACCTTTTCAACATGCCGCCAGAGGGTGCTCTAACATTTGATGACGTCACCTGTAAAACTTGTGTACACGTACTGTCTAGGCAGACACTCATTTCGTTGAAAGCAAGTTCGCATCTTCTGCCAATTTCAAATAATAAGGCACTTCCGGTTTCGACCGGAAGGAAGGGTCACGTGATTTTGCACTTAACATCAAAAATAAAGACCCTGAAATATTGTATCGATTGCCATAAAAAACAAAATCAAATCTGTAGCAATTGATTTTATATTGATTTTCAAAGATTAAATCTAGAAATCTTTGATTGCTTGTAATATGATACTTGATGACGTCATTTTGACGTCATTACCAGAAACTTCAAGAGCTATTTTAACTAAGCTATATATAGCCGAATCTTGATTATAGCAATTTTTGAAGGTTTAAAGGTCTTTTTATTGTTACTTCCGATCTGATGACGTATTCAATTTTTTTTCGCGCATAGGTCTTGTCTGCATTAAGGTCATCATGTACATGAATTTTGAAGCGAATACCAAACTTCACCACAGACATCAAGTGAAAATACGTTTTTCGCGTTTTTAACCTGCCACTAGGTGGCGCTCCAACTCTTCATGGCGTCACCCATTTTTCTTTTGAAAGGTCAATCAAGGCAGACACCAACACCGTTGAAAGCAAGTTCATATCTTTGTCCACTCTCAAATTATTAGGCACTTCCCGTTTCGACCGGAAGGAAGGGTCATGTGATTTTACGCGCACAGGATAAAAGGAAGAGCATGTATTATCATGTCGATTCCCGCAAAACTCAAGTTCCGGTCTCTCACGGTTGATTTTATATTGAATTCCAAAGATTAAATTTAATGTATTTTGAAGTGACGTCACGTGACACATGATGACGTCATGATGACGTAATTACAAAAAAATACATCTGCAGTGGGTTGGGCATTCGTGTATTGACAATTGAAGTTAATATATGTTTTCATTTTGACAAACAGTTCCGGAGAAGAATCTTTCTTGAATAAAACAAAGAATATTGAATTCTTACAATAACAATAGGTGTTGGGCTCAAGGCCCAACACCTAAAAAATATTGCAGAATTATGACTGGATCGGGGTTGGAACCTGTGGCCAGGTATCACGCCGAAAGTCATAGCGCTTGCAACGCCAACAATACACGTAGTAAACAAAAATTGGAGTTTATTTATTAAAATAAAATCGTATAAAAATAATGAAATATTCATTATAATTTATGGAACAAAGAAATAGAGTCCACAGTGTATTAATATAGCATAAACCGGGAGGTTCCCCCGACCCGACCCGATATAATCTACATTTGAAGTCATCGATGATGGAGGGACTGAGAACCAGTCTAATTGACATGGCGGAACAGCGCATGCGCACTGTGATGTTGGATCAACTGTTAAGGGGAATTCCCAAATCGGTTTGCGGAAGTATGAAACTGGGTGCAAATCGGCACCGATTCCCTGATTTTCCCTGGACTGTTTCTTCCCTTCTTCGGTCCCCATCACGCAGTCTTGATCAACAAAATGTGGATATATGTCTCCTGTGAATAATGTGAAGTGGATGAGGTAAGTTCACCAAGTCTGATATCAGGTAGAAAGGAGATGAAATGTTGCCCGAGTTGATGAGGCCTTGTCGTTACACAGTACAGAGTGCAGTATTGACGAGAAGCTGACCGTTAAGAGAGATAACGAAAATCACTAGAGTTTGAGGAAAAACACACGGTGTTGGGCTAGAGGTTTGGCTTGTTCGTATTGTTGATTATTGTTGTTGGTTGTTGATGTTGATTGTTAATTTTTGTTGTTGATGTTGATTGTTGATTATAGTTGATGGTAGTTGTTCATGTTGATGTCGATTGTTGATTGTTGATAATTGATTGTTGATAATGATTAACAATTATTGATGTAGATTGTTGATGTTGATTGTTGATTGTTGATGGTGATTGTTGATGACGATTTTTGATCTTGATTGTTGATGTTAATGTTGATTGTTGATCGTGATGTTGATTGTTGATGTTGATTGTTGATTGTTGATTGTTGATGTTTTTTTGTTAATGATTGTTGATGTTAATTGTTGATTGTTGATGGTGATTGTTGATATTGATTACTGATGTTGGTTATTGATGTTGAATGTCAGATTGTTGATGTTAATTGTTGATAGTTGATGTTGATTGTTGATTGTTGATGTTGATTCTTGATGTTGATTCTTGATGTTGATTCTTGATGTTGATGTTGATTCTTGATGTTAATGTTGATTGTTAATGTTGATGTTGATTGTTGATGTTTTTTTTGTTAATGATTGTTGATGTTAATTGTTGATTGTTGATGGTGACTGTTGATATTGATTACTGATGTTGGTTATTGATGTTGAATGTCAGATTGTTGATGTTAATTGTTGATAGTTGATGTTGATTGTTGATTGTTGATGTTGATTCTTGATTTTGATTCTTGATGTTGATTTTTGATGTTGATGTTGATTCTTGATGTTAATGTTGATTGTTGATGTTGATGTTCAAATTATTAGGCACTTCCGGTTTCGACGGGAAGGAAGGGTCACGTGATTTTGCACGCACAAGATAAATTGAAGATCATGTATTATCATCTCAAGGTTGGTTTTATATTGAATTTCAAAGATTAAATTTATTATTTTTTGAAGTGACGTCACGTGACCAATGATGACGTCATGATGACGTAATTGCAAAAAATATATCTTCAGTGGGTTGTGTTTTCATGTATTGACAATTGAAGTTCATATCACTTTTCATGTTGACAAACAGTTCTGGGGAAGAATTTTACTGAGAAGAACAAAAAAAAACCAATAATAGTAAACTCTTACAATAACAATAGGTGTTGGGCTCAGGCCCAACACCTAATTAGAGGTATTCCAGTTCCGGGGGGGGGGGGACAAAATGCACTTGAACGATTTGTTTCCCTTTAAATAGCGTGTTGCTTTGAATAATAAATAATTAAGCATGATGTTAAATTGAGGGTTAGGTACTGTTTTTTTTTATTACCAGATACTGATGAAGCTTTTATCAGTACGAACAAAACAGTACGTCCCTTTTGTGTGATCCGATCGGTCATATTTTAGGCAGTAAATGTATTTCCCACTTTTGAGGTGGGGAAGGCCCCCCCCCCCCCCCAGATCAGATGACATTCTAGAAGAAAAGATGATGACAGCAATGGTAAGAATAATTACCTGTGTCCGCCTGTCCGCCATAATCGGACAGAGAAGCGTAGCCGGGTGATGGGTTTGGGGGGGGGGGGGGAGTATGGTGCCGGGTGTTCGCATGCACACTCTTGTTCAATATTGCGCATGATCCACCTTTTTGAAGAAACCTAGGCCCCCATTGGAATATGGTACCACCCAGCCAACCCCCCCCCCCCCATCCCATCATTTTGACTTTAAGGAGGCCAAGTGTCCGGATGGAGGAAAACTCCAAAATTTTAGCAGTGATTTTCACAAACTGTTGACCCCCAAAACATTTTTCTTTGTGACGCCTCAGGGACATAACACAAACAAATCTCACGGGTCAACCCCCCCCCCCCCCCCTTTGCAATTTTTCCTTGGTCCTATCGTGTGGGATTCTTTAATTGGCAAACAATGTTATTAATCTACAACACGTTTTTACTTACAAATATTGCCACTTGTTTAAGTAGGCAGACATTTAATTGATTCAACGGTACTGGTTATCCCACTAGTAAAGGAACATTAAAAAAAATGTTTTTTGTTACGGTTTCATATGAAGATGACTAAGCAAAATGATACACTGGTAAATTCATTTCTCAGACTGACAGGAAAGGAGTAAACAATTTTAGAAATTTGTTTATGATAATTGGAAAAGACAACATCCACTTTACAAATATCAGAAGTACGGATAACATTATCTTGTCTTCTAGTGAAAATCCGGATTTACAGGAAAATATGAAGGAGAACTTAATTTATTCGTTAGCAGATTGCTAATATAATGAAAGTAGTAAATGCAAATTGAGCATTGAAAATATCTTCCATGTTCAGAATTGTATATTTTAGAACAAAGTGATATGGTATGTGCATTATGTCATTGTTGACCCTGAAAAGTAATTGGCCAAATATTATCAGGATTCTTGGTCATTTTGACCAGAGGCATTTTAGAATGTAATGTCGTGTGCTCAGCTACGAAGGATAAATTAATTTGCTGCAGTTTACTGTATTTCTTCCTTAGAAGAGTGTATTATCGTTCAACAAACTGAATGCTACGAAGATGCCGCGAAAGACGATTCGGCAGTTGAATGCATACATTAAGGGAACAGCTGTCGTGTACGACCACACCAACACCAAACTCATTAGCAGGAAGACTAAAGTCAAAGCAAGGAGGAAACAAGCTTTCCTGTCCGTACTGAATTACGGGAAAACGTCTTCGGATGATTGCTGTGCAAAGAGTAAACCATCAAAACGACGGATTTCACGACAATTGAGGTACCCAAATAAAGGCCGAAGGTAAGCATCAACGATGCATTTATTCAATAGACGATATTGCAGTAATAAGGGATATTACAAATTGAATCTCGTGCATCAATTTCAATAGAGCTAATGAATATAAATATTGGCTGTTTCTTTGACTAAGCGCAACTTGAATTCCCCTCATTAATCCTTTTCAAGGACAAATATTTTCCTAACCTACACAAGCATTTTCCCTATTCTATTTTTACAGCCATGCCGGGAAACAGAAGCTGCAAGTCTTTGTCCGGACCCCCTCTTACATACACCGAAGACGCTTTGCTTCCGTCTCGATCCAGGGACTTCCATCTCAAGTTTAAAAGAATGGATACAAAAGAAGATCGGTGTTGAGGCACGATATCAGCGTCTGTACATCAGGAGAAACTTTCAGGTACAAGTTATTCTACGCAACATTTTCAAATACACAGCCTCGTTCGCGCTTCATAGGCCAAGTAGAAGCATTGAACAGTTTCCCATCCCTGTCTGCTTCTGTTTTCTTACCAGCTTCCTTTATACATTGCTCTTTCTTTTGTTTTGTTTGAAGTAATTTCATGTCATATATATTTCCAGCACAATGTACCTATGTAAACAATCTGATACACAGAACGATGCACGGCTCCTTTAGACACAAAATATCAGCAAATCAGACAAGAAAATGAACGAATCTTTTCCGTCATCTTGAAAATCCTCCTTTATTCCATATTCCAAAATCCTCCTTTATTCCGGATGTTTTTTTCCCCTGGCCTTATATTGTGCGCACATGCCAGGGGCGTAGCACGGTCAATTTTATTATTATTATTTTTTTTTTTTTGGAAAAGGGCACTTGTACATCCGTTTTGAAAGGTAGACAGGTTTTTTTCTCCGGACACTTGGCCTCCGTAAAATCAAAAAGTGTGGGGGGACCATCTGTCGATGGGGGCGCTGTTCAAAACCGACAATTATGCACACAAAGGGCCAATTTATGGTGCTTTTTAGGGCGATACATGTGCAAAATTCTAAAAAGGTACCCAAAACGGCAGATGCAACAAAAGGGCAAATCTTGTTTTTTTGAAAGGGCACTTGTCTTGTTCAGAAAAAAAGGGCACTTCGGAAAAAAGGGCACTCTTTAAAAATTTTTGGGGGGTAAGCCCGTTGAAAAAAAGGGCATTTGAATGGAAAAAGGCAGTCGTTACAAAATATTGGGGGGGGGGATATCATCACCCCCCCCCCCCCCCCCCCCCCCCCCCCCCCCCCCCCCCCCCCCCCCCCCCCCCGCTGGCTACGCCGATGCATGCAGAACTAACCTTGATAATGGGATTATGTTGATTAGCTGGTCGTTTCCATTTTTGTTTTCATGACTGAAATAAACGGGACTTGTAAGATACATTCTTTTGAGATATTTTCAGTTTCAGTACTGAAGAGTACGGTTTATTCAACAGAACAGAATGAATGGTGAGGAAATTAGTCACACAAACACTGAGTATTAAATAGTTTCAGGTTTCAAATATATGCGCAATAAAACTTGGAATGTTTCAACATACATTATGTATACAATCCAAACAAATCCAAAGGAAAATATAACAAAATCAGTAGTCATTTCTTTTTCTGCTACATCTTTTACAGCTTTGTGACTTGTTGACGCTTGAAGATAATGGCATCGAGAAAGACGAGAACATCTCACTCCGTCTATCCTTTGATGGTTTACTAGGCGGTGGACCAAAAGGTAAAGTCTAACAGAATGAAATGAGTGGTTCAATCATGCAAATGGACCATTAATGACCTTAAGTAATTGTGCCACGATAAAGCACGTGTATTACACTGTCCGGCGATTTCCGCTGACCTACGGTAACATTAAATACATATATAAATTGCTTTGTTAAAATCTTTGTGTTTTGATGGAATGTAAGTGCCCCTGTCTTAAAGCTATTAGATCATATTTAATATAGACTAATACAGGTGTGTATTTTGTTGTAATGTAAAGCGGAATAAAAAAAAAGAAACATTAAATAACTCAAGGACAAGAAGTGTCGGACAATACCAAGAAACTGGGACTCACGCTTCATATACTGCACAATGCCTATATCGGTGCACTCTAAAAAGTCCCGCATCAGATTGACCAGCCGGGGTCCGGCTTCTTTGTGGCTTGACACTTTTCAGGGTCAATATTTGCACTTTTCTGTCTTGTTTGCGGGGTCAATTTGACCCAGGAACCTTGGCAAAAGTATAATTTTGACCCCTAAATATGTCAATTTTGACCATGAAATGTGTCAGGCCAAATAGAAGCCGGATTTCGACTCATCTGCCTCGGGACTGTTTAGAGTGTACATCGGATTGTTATTTCTTTCCTGAGTCCAACTTGTTAGTTACTTGACAGGAAAGAAATTACGACATTTTTTTTGGCAGAAAGGGCACAATTTGATCAGTTTCTCTGGGATATCGCCACAAAAATTGAGTCGACTTGGAAGGAAGTGGCCAAAAACCTCGGATTTGAAGAAGCAGACATTGGTAAAATTCAAGCTAAGAACGAAAATGACTCCAGCAAACAGAGCATGGCGATGCTGTTTACTTGGTGGAGCAAGCAGAAGAAGAGCAGGAAAGCATCTCAGAAGCTGAGAGAAGCATTGGAGGCCTTAGGTTTGGCTCATTTGGCGCTGAAAGTACCAGGTAATATAAATTAGCAATTGCTATAAATGAATACCAACAGAAATCAAGTTTCATTTGGATTACCGTTCACTAACAGTGTTAAAGTCGAGTCCATTATTTGTCCAATTACAAGTAACATATTATACGACCGGTAACAAAGTTATATCTTTGCCACAATACACACGATTACCTTTTTATTTCTGTTTACAGAGACTCGTGACCAATGACTAATGTTCCCCGAATAAGGTCAATACTCAACAGTTATTACAATCTTCATTCACTGCTTTTAGCTATTGCTCAACTCCTAAACGCAAAATATTTTATTTCGACACACTATAGACGCTCCCATTAGCCAAATTTAGTTTTGATGTTACTCTCCTCAGATTCAATTGACAATTCATATCAAGATCAAGGCAACAAAGGGAGTGACGATATTGCCACGTCAGCGACAGCGGCTGCAGATCATAAGACATCTAAGCAAGAGGAGCAAGAAGTCACAGAGATGAAAGCAGTTGAGAAGACATTACCGGATAGAACCAGAATGGAACAGGAGACTGGCAAACCAGATATGTCCCAGCCTGAGACACGTCCAGTGGGTGAGTTCAAAGATCCAAGCAGCAAGCCCCCATCAGCAGCATCATTGGATCAACTGGTACTCGGAGAGGAGCAGATTGGTGCCCAACCAGTGGAACAGCAGCTGGTGGACGTCACTGTATCAACATCATCAGAACGGATGATAGATTCTGCTGAATTACAATCTTGCTCAGAGGAAAAGCATATGGCAAGGACCCATGCAACTCCCGAGTTAGAGCAAGGGGATGATTCACATATACACAGTCATAAACAGCGGGCGACGATACTGCCTTGGCACAGACTACAGGAGTCGGTTGTGCGAAGAACTCAGCCTTTGACGACACGAGTAGGAGATGAAATGGAACCAAACAATCGCCATGTGATGTCATCACCTGAACAAGAGAGACTTAGACAGGAGACTGACGATGCAGCCGGATATCAGTCTCAGAAACAGCAATTGGCAAGCGAGAGGAATTTGGTACTATGTGAGCAAATTAAAGACGATCGGGTATCAAGCTCAGGTTCAGGAAGCTTAGCTTCAGCACCTAAGAGAAGTACATCGTCAGTATCTGCGGTACAAAAATATGGGTCCAACGCTTCAAAACAAGTTTCAGTAGACCTCAATGTTGGCGGAAGCTACAATCCTACCTTTCTTGCAGATGTTAGCGGCACAACTATCAACTTCATTCAAAATGTTACTGTCACAGAAAGAAGTCCAAGTAAGTGAATGCAGTGGCAGCGGCACGCTCATAAAAGAGGACATAATATTACAAATCAAGTGATACTGTCTGTCTAGGCATTTTTAGTAGCCATTGCAAAATTGACATGCTAGTATTGTTGATATGTCACTGTGATAATTTATTTTCAGGGTTTCCACACTTGCCAATTGAGACGGACGTCACAAAAGAGGGGACAAGGAACGATGCCATGACTGAAATGCTTTGGCTAGCCATGACTACCCTACATCAAACGAAGGGAAAGGATTTTATCCTTGAGCAATTTTCAGCTTTCCTAAACTCATGTGACGGAGAGCTTGAACGAGTGAAATCTGGGTCTGTGACATTTGTTGTTCGTATCAAGAGTCGAGAAGGTTTAGACAAGCTGTGGAGTATGTACACCACTGGAGAACTCGCCAAGAAAATGACGGAGATTCTCATCACGAACGAACTGACAACAGAAGATAAGAGTGACTTGGCTATCCAAGCGACTATACTGCAAAGCGACTACGAACAGGCCTGTGGATTCTTTGACGAGTTGGAAAAAGACAAGCAGAAAGGTAGCACAATGCTGTAAAATTAAAACTAAAGGTACAATTAAAGTACCTCTGCTTTCAAAAATTCTTTTCAAACATTAATGCGTCCGTTGTGTGTTTAACAGATGAAGAGGACCTGTCCGGCATTGCAGAGGAAAATCATACGAAACTTGGAGAAAGGAGCACACCAACAACGGCTTACAGTAGCGCTCCAGCTGAACACGATGCCGATAGATGTCAAGACAAGTTGAAGGCGTTGTATATGACCACAGGTATATATATTCACAAATGGTTAAATTGGTAGATGGTGACAAGAAGATTATAACGGCAAAGCTGACGTAATTCAAAGTTCACGATAAGACAAAGAAACAATTACTATACCAAGAAATTTTCCTCGAGAAAACACCAAAAGGCGATTCTATTAAATCGGCCGTTCTGATTTGATAAGTTAATCAGCAACCTTCATGAGAACAAAGTTGGTTCTGTTCTCAAGCTCCTCGATCGGATGGCAGCAAGGGGTATACGGGTGCTTGTAACCACACATCCCCTTAACCTACACAAATTCCTGAGCAAATCAACGGTCCAGGAAACGGTTATTTGTGTTACAGCTTCAGAGATTGCTCAGGTAGAGATTCAAGATTAAGTGAAAACATTTTTCTTTGATACACCTGGTCAGGCTGAGGATCTCATTGACAGAATCAAATCTTCAGATATTCTCTCCGACTGGGCAAAAAGCTTAAACCTGATGTCTTTGCTGTGTTCATTGTCGAGACATTCAGCACTACCTGATACAATGTCACGCCTATGGAGTAGAGGAATGAAATACATATTCACAAGACAAGCAGATATGTCACAAGATGAAATATCCGAAGTACTGATCGCGCTTGGTGAGACTGCATTGGAGGGTCTGGTTTCCCCTCAGCAAAGGTTCACATTTCAAAAAGAAGAGTTTGGGAAAGCGGCGATCGAGAAGGCCCAAAATGCAGGTCTTCTTATTCGCAGACGATTCCCTGTTGGTCACAAATATGTCAGCGACTGCATAGAGGTTAGTCACAAGACAATGCAACCATGCTGTGCTGCTAAATACTGCAAGAGTTTATCGGACGAGGAGTTTCAGAAGCTTCTTGATCGAATTGACGACCCGTGTATTTTCCAATATTTGTTGCGCTTCTGCTGCGGCGACAATAAACAATGCTGCACACATATTTTGCTGAGGCTTCACAGAAAGTCTTTTAAGAAACTGGCCTTAGATTGCTACTTTGAAAGTCAGGGGACACATGTGACATCAGAAGATGTCATTAAATCGTGGTTGGCTGAATGTAGTTTTCTGTCCATAAGTGATCATACATTGAAGTCGCGCATGTGGTTGCTGCAGCATGTTGCCGGGCAGACAGGGCTCTCGCGATACCTCGCTGTAATTCAAGAGGTTTCATTTTTTCGGTGTGACCTGTCAAGATTATGTGACGTCGCAGCTTGGCGTTTAACAACCATGACAAATCTGTCTTCATTGAGTTTGGATAAATGCAGACATTTATGTTGTCACTTCAAAGGGCAGGCAATTCGACTCATCTAACGCCTTCTGACATTGATTTAGGTGGCACTGCAAACGTTTGGGCTGTCAAATTGCAATGTCTCAAAAGATTCGAGACACAATTATGTAACTTGAACGCGGAAGATATACCGCATATTGCGTCATCGGTCGTGAAGATACCAAACCTTGCCAATCTTAGCCTTTCAGGCCTTGAGGGATTGGGTGGTAACGCCGGAACGTGGGCGGCTAGTTTGCAGTCGATGACTCACCTAAAAAAAGCTCAATATGACAATGTGTAACATTCAAGGTCACGATGTAAAATATATCTCTTAATCAGTGAGTCGCATTGGAAATCTAGAAAAAAAAGTGTATTCGGTGGTTCTTTGGATGTGTTTTGTGTACATCCATACGACAGTGACATGCAACTAAGCATTAAGCGGTTATCACTTACCGGCGAGGACTGTGTATTTTAGAGTCATTCAGTAATCGGAAAGACTTAGTCAGTTTCACACTTGACGACATTCATGGTATCGGTGGTTCTGCAGGTACCTAGACCGTACCCTTACAAAACCTGGCGGGGCTTCGGGAGTTGGGTTTACGAAATTGCTCATTGCATATCATTGATATTGAACACCTTGCTGTAGCATCATGGCAAATGCCGAGCCTTGCCAATTTTAACCTTTCCCATTATCCAGTCTTGGGTGGTAACGCTGGAACGTGGGCGGCTTGTTTAAAAATGATAATTTACCTAAAATCACTCGATTTATCGGAATGTGGCATCAATGAACAAGATATACAACATATTGCTTCATTAGTTGGGGAAATGCAAAATTTGGCCGAGCACAAACGTGAGTGGCTAGTTTACCATTGATGATTCACCTCAAAAAGGTGTTATGGCATACTGTAATAGTCTGACGCAGATCACTTACGATTTTAAATACATCGTCAGATCAGTAGGTGTCATGGGGAATCTGGTGCATTTTGATTTCCGTGGTTACAACGAGGAGATGCGCGTACAGCCATGTGGTAATGGCATACGACTGATCATTAAGAAGCTCTCACACAAATTAACCGGCTATGATGATTTGGCGGAATGCTTACAGTCATTTAGTAATAGGAGAGATTGTTGTCACTTTGATCGTTGGTGGCGTTGGTGGTTTAAGTTTTTTGCGAACTTTTGGGCCCCATCGTTACAAAACCTAACGCACCTGAAGGAGTTGATTACCTAACTGCTCATTTCAGTTACATGACACTGTACACATTGCTGCATCAGAAAGTGAAATGCCAAGAGTAGGATCCCTCAGCCTGGCGGGAAAAGATTCTTTGAGTGGTTGTGCAAAATTATTGGCTCCCAGTCTATAACAACTGAAATACGTTGGTAGCCTGAAATTGGGTGGATGTGCATTGACAGAAGGAGATAAGAAAATGCACATCTGAGGCATGGGGTCTCCTTTGAGTCTCGTAAAGATGACAAGATCTCACATGTGGGTCTGCGCTGAGAT